TCTACTGTACGTCTTCACTTAAATTATTATTATTATTATTATTATTATTATTATTATTATTACTACTACACTAAGTTTGTAGATGGGAACACTTCATAACATATTCAGAGATTCATTGCACTTTGTAGATATGATTCCGATTCCTTATTTGTTTGGACTATTTATATTTCTACTTTATTGATTTTGTCGTTTACTTATTTATTTGAGCTTATTTATTTTGAATACCACACGTTTCATTTGTGAAAGTGTGCTTAACTGTGTCTGTGTCTGTGTACGCGACAGAAATTTCAATAAACCATGCACGTCTTACCTCAGTTACTGCAGTGAGTGTTATGTCCCTGGACTTGATTTATTATTCTGAGTTTTTATTTATTTTGCTTAATATAACAATAATTATTATATCGTTCTTTAAATAAGGGAAATGCGTATGAGATAATTTCAGGTTTATTGTAAACCAAAATGTATAACTTTCATGATGATTATTATGATTATTATCGTTCCTGCTGCTGTCATTATGCATAATATAGCCTACGATAATTTATTGTGTATTATCAAATACACCGCAAGCTAAAGAAATCGATTATCGTAGGCTAATAATAACGAACTGATGATTAATTTTAGTAACGTGCCTGTAGTTTCCTATAGTTTGTCCATGATGTTAAGCCCAGCTTAAACGAATTAAAACAAACCCTTAACATCCATATAAAGTTTTACAAGCACGATTAAATACATCATTTATGAAAGAGGAAACTCCGAATGTTATTAATGTTTCTGGTATAGATCTATGTTACGTAATTAGTCGGACATAATCACTGTAACAGGAAGATAAGTTCACTTCAAGGAGTTGTCAAGTCCAAGTTCTCTCTGGCGTTCAGCAGGTGGTTTTGAGTCCGTAAAACTCGTTATTTATGAATAATAAATACGAAGTGTTATGATACTAGTGTTTGTTAATAGGAAGATATCCTATTGCTGAACGGATAGTTCGTGTTGTACAACAACGGTTCTCGTCATTTCCCCCTTGAACGTTAATAGGCCTAATTATCTTCCAATAAACTGGAATGTAATTTTTACAAAAAAGTCTGTTCGAATCAGTCTTAAACAAAAAGAAAAACCCAAGACATTTTTCATTTGTATTTGTAAAACAAAAGATTATAATAACAAAAATATACCAAAAAAAGACAATAAAAAATGTGACTATACATTTCTGAAAATATATATGAAGATTTCGAGTATATATTAAATAATTAATCTATAGCCTATATAATAAGACGCTTACGCAAAAAGATTTGACATTCTTATAAAAAAATAGTTCATCCCATAAAATCACAGAAAAGAGCGCTGCTGTGTAGTTGCATGTGGTAAAGTTCGTTCCTACGACAGTGTGTGCGTCAATTGTTTGATTTGAATAATGCACATACTTTCTTTTACTGTATCCGGCTAAATTTAAAAGGCAAGAGACATGTTACGCAAATCAGATTCGCTTCGCCCCAAGTCGTTAAAGGTTGAAGGCAGTGGAAAACTTATCTGAAAGACTTACTTAAAAACGCATTTATACATATAAGAGCGATTGTTTGATTGATTATTGCATAATACAATAAGAGCGATTGTTACAATATTGTGATATTTAGCGAGTTTTTACCAGCTTAAATCATTGTTTATTCATAGTGAAAGGAAATCACACTGGTTACAATTGTTTCTCGAATTTGGAAACATGAATTGCTTGAAATGTGCGAGACAAATCTGGTATATGGTGTTCAAATGTGCCCAAAATCGAAGATTTGCATAGCTCTCACCAAATCATCTACATAATTAATCAACCGTGGAAACCATGGAACATATAGACGTCAAATGTGAGGCAATGCTTTTAATGTGCCACTGGTTACTTTATTTAGTCAAATGCAACTGGAGTAAAAAATATGTGTAAGTGTATATAACTCCGCTCTTAGATTTACATTCCTCCCCATGGCTCCTTACAGTCTTGTGTTTTCCATGGTGCGGAAAGCGCATTTTCATAAACAGACCTTGGCCAAGCGCTGCGTATAAAATTTTAATGAAGCCAGAGTCTTGAGTGCAGCTCGACTGAGGGCCTTGGAGAATCAGCTCTCTGGTACATGACTATGGCTCCCTCTTTCCTCACAAACATTGCAGTTCGACCGGCTCAGTCCATAGCTCGTCGAAAGAAGTAGGCTAGTGGCGAGCGTTAGCAGAAAAAAAATGAGAATTGCTGCAGTAACGTTTCATATATTACTCTAAGCCCCCGTCTTGTAGCCCGACTGTGAGCGCGGTCAGCAAGTAAATAAACTTCCCTCTGTGTTTCCATCCGCGTTGCGCGCTCCCCGTGTTTTTATCCGCGTGTGCGCGCTTGACTATCAGATCACACCTGCGGCACTGGAAGCTCTAAATCAGTATAATGCAATATTTATCAAGCGCGTTAATATATAAGCCCAATACAGCGCTCAAGATATCAGAGTTCTCACGTTGAGAGAAGCACAGTTTACTAAAGCGCATAACGTGTAGTCTGAGCTGGTTTTTGATTTTGATTTCGCCATTGGTTGTGGATTTTGTACTTAAAGATTCCTGGTTATGAAAATAATCAACGCGCGAAACTGAAAGTGAAAGGAAGGTGACAAGGAGAGCAACTCAAATTCATCCTGACAAGGTGAACAAGGGAATCTTTGTAATACTTGCTGTCTTTGCTTTGAGTAGCAGCGGATTAATATTTATAAATAACTGTATAATTTGATCTCTCAGGAGCATGCCATAGGGCAGAATGGAATAATGCATATTCAACAAGTATTAAAACATGGGTGTTGTAATTAAGAATCTTGTATACTTAATCAAGCCTAATGAAGCAGCTGGAGATCACCGAGAAATCTGAATATTTGGCACCGAGACAAACTGACTGACAGGCCATCAAAACAAAGCAGAGTAACACAAATATCTAACTCCCCATGTAACTAGGCTCTTGTCCAACTTGCCCAAGAATGCTGTCACTGGTCAAAATTAATTATCAGTTTCATGCTATTTAGATTTTCTTCATTTAAAATCTGTTGGTCACCCCAGACATTATTTGTCATTACATTAATTATGAATTTTATAATTTTATACATCAGAGTAAAACACATGAACAAAATTCTGCTTAAATTTGATTGTGGAGCTTTTTAGAAATACACTTTGTTATAGTTTTATTATGTTTAGGTGTAATATGCAAGAGGAACACTACTGTAAAATGTTATCCTTTTAAATTAATCGTTCATGATGGATGTGCCAGATGCAGATCCTGAATATAAAACGTTTTTTTTTTTAACTCAAAAACAATTATAGATTAAACACATTCAATAGGGGTGTATTCGTTCATCCCTTTGGATAGAGGGCGAAATGTGAGATTCTTGTAAATGTTTGATAGATGTTGATCAGATAGAATAAGATTCATGAAATAGTGTTAAGAATGTCATGACTTTTTGGTGTAAGGACTAAAGCCCCGTTCACACCAAGAACGATAACTATAAAGATAACGATATTAGCGTCCACACAAGCGAACGATATCGTCTGTTTATTCTAAGCGCACGCGCGTCTGCCGCTTTAAATTCTTGAGCTCGTTACAGCAGGATAGATTCTGATTGGCTGTCAATTTTTTATCGTTCATCAGCTGGAGAAAAATCGTTTTGAAAGTGATCACAACGATATCGTTCCTCTGTATCGTTATCGTTATAGTTGTGGTGTGAACCATGCTATTCTTTAATACTGAGAACGATTTTTAGAACTATATCTTTATCGTTATCTTTATAGTTATCGTTCTTGGTGTGAACGGGGCTTAAGTATCACTCTTTATTCATGCGAAAACTATTTCCGATTTAAAAAAAAAATCTTATGTTCTTCGCTCTGCTAAATGGCATGCAATTCAAATATTCTATAACGGATCAATCCCCATAAATCTATATATAAACCCATGAACCTTCATCTTGTTTGAATACGATGAATATGTTTCACAAGAATTTAAAAATAAAGGAAACATCAACCAGTATAAGGCTAAATAAAAAGGGACAAATCTAACACAAAGAATCCTCATTAGTTAAGATTTATATGTCCTCATTGACCCATGATGGATATTGGAGACTTCATGCCGTGGGAAGCATGATTTTTTAATGACAATATATGCTGCTCCTCCGGTGCAGGATGTTTCACCACAACAGAACGCGTGCTCATTCCGACACACAGCGGAATAGTTAGCAGAGTGAGAAAAAAATACAAATAATAAAATAAAATAAAATAAAATAGATAGATAGATAGATAGATATATAGATAGATAGTGTAATGTCGAAGTGCAATTAGGATATTACAATTCAATTGCAAGAAATACTAAAATTAATAAAATAAGATTGTTGTCTAGGCCATAGGCCATATATATAAAACGCTTTCGTTAAAAGTTCGTGGTGACAATAACACCCACATTGTTTTCCCTATCCGTTACTAACAATTTATTCATTTAGTTATTTATTTAAGC